AGGCTGGGAGGAGGGAGGGTCCTCCTTCACTTTGGGTGCTGGAGAAACGTCTCCTTCGATGATATTTCACCTTAGCTCTCCTTGCCACATCTGTCAACTTCTGCTAATTACCGAGTTTGCTATCACCCTCTGCACTGATGTGAAGGGTAGGGAAAACAGAAAAAGGAGGTTAAGGGATTCTACAATTATAAATGATGTCTGGCAGGCTAAGGTACCATATAATGCATTATAAGCACTTAAAAAGCTAACCCATTCTGTCTTCTTTCTTTGGCATAAATAATGGCTTTTTTATGAATAAATCATGCAGCCAAGGTCTCTGAAAATAGCAGGAACCTGGAGCAGAATGTCTCCATCCTCATTTTTGCTAGGACAGCAGAGAAGTCAGCAATCCACTCCATCACCGCTGATAAACCGGGGTGAGTGCAACTCCCAGTAATGAAGTAGGGAGATAAAGTTTCGGGCGGGTGAGCGGGGCAGCGGGATATTTCTGCCAAAGCACCGACTGCACCCGGGCTCCAAATGAAACATAATGGACTCCGAGGAGATAAGCGTTTTTTTTTTTTCCCTGCCCCATGAATAAAGCAAGACCTCATAACTCATAGACAGGCAAAGCTGCCAGCAACTTAAAAGTGCTTCCTTCTGCTTCTGGTTTGTGTTTCCTTTTAATGAAGCTGCTCCAAAGCCGAGGGGGAGCTCAGAAGTGGGGCTGGAAGCAAACCCTGCCTTTGCTCGTGTGGAGTCCGGCTGGCTGCGGGCGCTGGGGTGGGCTNCTGGGCGGTGGAGAAGGCTGGGAGGGCACTGGGATGCTCTGGCCCTCGCACAAAGAGCTGACTCGCAGCTGCCCGGGCAGGGAGGGAGGTCCTGGAGGTCCTGCCAGGGTGGGCTGGGGAATTGCTGGGGGCACGGGGGTTCTGCTCAGCCCTGGCAGTGTCCGCACCCGGCTTCTTCCACCAGGTGGGCACCCACCCATTCCCCTTGCCAAGGTCCTTCCCACCTCCCTGGTGCGGCACACACACACACACCAGAGAGACCCTCTGCCCAGTTGTCTTGGGGGACAAGCTGGGGGAGAGCTCAGCAGAGTGGGCACAGCCCCAGAGCCCCCCTGTGCCCAGCACTGCAGCTGTGGCACACTCAGCCCCCAGCACCTGGTGCCAGAGGCTCCAGCTGGAGCTGCACTCCCTGCGAGCTCCTCCTGAGCTGGCGGCTCACCAAGGCCCTCGGGTGATGTGAAAATGATGTGAGTGCACACTCACACACAGCCACCTCCCCGGGGACCCCGGGCCGTGCACACCCCTCACACCCCCTCGCACTCGGTGCTGCACTCACAGCCTGCGGATGGAGGATCTTTCACACTTCCTCAAGTGATCTTCCCCCAGCAGATCCTTCCCTCTCTGTCTCTTATTGCTGCAGGGAGCTGAAGGTTTCCTGGGGACAGCTCCTCCTCCTCTTCCTCCTCCTCCTCCTCCTGCTCCGGGTGTCCCCAGGGTGTGCCAGCCACTGCCGAGGGGGTGCCGGGGAGGATGAAGAGCACCCAGCTTGTCCCCCAAGATAACTGGGCAGAGGGTCTCTCTGGTGTGTGTGTGTGTGTGCACAGGGAGATGTCATTTCCCGCTCAGGGAGGTTGGCAGGATGTCCCCAGAGAACGGGGCTTGATGGGCACAGTCCCAGGTGTCCCCCAGGGGTGCAGGGCACAAGGGCTGCTCCCCCAAGGGCAGAGCCCTGGCACTGGGGGCAGCTGGGCAAAGGTGGCCCTGCACTTGGCCCTGCTCAGGACAGCCCTAACCATGGAATCAGGGAATGGGCTGGGTTGGGAGGGACCGCAAAGATGATCTTTTTCCACTCCCTGCCATGGGCAGGGCACCTCCCGCTGTCCCGGGATGCTCCAAGCCCCCTCCAACCTGGCTGCGTTGCTTCCCTGGGCTTCGTTCAGCACAAGCAGCTTGTGCTGTTTCTCCTCCTCCCTGGGGTGGGCTGCTCATTTTTGCCCCATAAGACAATGCCCTTTTTCAAAAACAAAGAAATTATAAAGTACATATGAACATATGGTAACATATATTCTGGGCTGCCTATGTGGCCAATTTTCTGTATGTTACCATATGGTGCCGCGTATTTAGCAAAAATATAACTTGACTGTTTCTCTTTCCATATGGGGATTCTTTTGCCTTAATTAATAACATTGAGCAAAAACTCTTTCTAAGGTTTCCAAGATTTCTGCAAGGGAGTATCTCGTGACAGACACATGCTCCTGAAGGCTTTCCTCCTCATTTGCCTGCACCCTTCTGTCCCTTTCTCCCTCCGCGTGCTCCAGGGGCAGCTGTGGGCACATCTGGCGCTGCTGGCAGGGGGATGCTGCACCCTTGGCTCCCGGCCCAGGGGGCTCCTGTCCCCCCCAGGGCCCGGCTGCAGCTCTGGGGATGACACGGTGCCCGTGGGCTGGATCCCTGCGGCTCATCCCGGAGAGGAATTCCTGGAACCAAGTGGGAGAGGAGAGGGAGCTGGTGCAGCACAGAGAGCCGTGGTGGCCGCGCAGGGACAGAGCTGCACACTCTGCAGCTCTGCAGCCTCTCGGGGCTATCTCCGATGGAAGGTGTGGGGGGATCCTCTCGGGATGAGCCCACAGGCAGTGCCCGAGAGCTGTGTCCCCATGTCCCGGGTCACTGGGAAGGGTCAGTGGCACAGCCCCAGCCGCTCCTGCTCGCCCAGCCGGAGCCCGGCACTGAGCACAAAGCTCTCCAGAAGCGTCCCTGGGCCCTCAGGGATGCTCCTGCAGAGTGGAGCTGGCACAGGGCAGGACAGCAGGAGCAGCAGGGAGATGCTGGATCTCCGCCTCTCCCGGTTCCCTGCGTCCTGCTGAGGCTGCTGAGCCCCCCGGGCTCCTCCAGGGCTGGGACAGGGGGCACAGGCAGTGCCTGGGGGCTCAGCTTTGCTGTGGGGTGAGCCTGTTCCTCCTGCTCAGCAGCAGCAGCAGGGACTGTCCCCGAGGCACCATCATCATATATAATATATAATATATAATATATAATATAGAATATAGAATATAGAATATAGAATATATAGAATATAATATAATATTATATAATATATAATATATAATATATAATATATAATATAATATTATATAATATATAATATATAATATATAATATATAATATATAATATATAATAATATAATATATAATATATAATATATAATATAATATAATATATAATATAAATAATATAATATATATATATAATATATATATATAAATCATATATAATATACTATATATCATATTATATATATCATATATAATATATAGAATATCATATATAAGAGATTATAGATCATAATATATCATATTATATATTATATATTATAGTATACAGTACATATATAGAATATCATATATAAGAGATTATAGATCATAATATATCATATTATATATTATATATTATAGTATACAGTACATATATAGTATATAGTATATGATATATAATATAATATTCATATATTATATTATATAAATATATAATAAATAATAAATGTAATAATAGATATAATAGAAATAATAATAGCTCTCATATATAATATTTTATATATAATATATCTTATATCTTATATATAACATATAATACATATTTTAAATATATAAGATATAAGATATAAGATATAAGATATAAGATATAAGATATAAGATATAAGATATAAGATATAAGATATATATAAGATAGGATATATAATATATAATATATTATATATTATATAAAATATAACGAATATATATTCAAAATATTTCAAATATTTCAAAATATATTTCAAAATATTTCATATATTTCAAATATATGTTCAAAATATTTCAAATATTTCAGGATATATTTCAAAATATTTCAGATATTTCAAATATATATTCAAAACATTTCAAAATACATCGAATATATAATCAAAATATTTCAAATATTTCAAAATATATTCCAAATATTTCAAGATATATTTCAAATATTTCAAAATATATTTCAAAATATTTAATATATTTCAAATATATATTCAAAATATTTCAAAATATATTTAAAAATATTTCAACAAATATTTCAAATATATATATAAATATTTCAAATATTTCTAATATATATTCAAAATATTTCAAGATATATTTCAACATATATTTCAATATATATTTCAAATATATATTCAAAAATATATTTCAGATTTTCAAAATACATTTCAAATATTTCAAAACTGGGTGATGGGGATCATTTCAAGTGTGTTGATCCCAGAGAAAATAGTGGAATGGCTGATCCTGAACACAAGGAATAAAGAATCCAAAAGGGTGATATAATTACTGCCAATCAACAGGGATTTATGGAAAATAGATTTTTATCTTTTTTTGTTTGTTTTGGGGTTTTTTTGGTGGGGATTTTTTTGGTTGGTTTGCCAGTTTTGGGGGGTTTTTTTTGGTTGTTTGTGGTTTTATTGGTTTGGGTATTTTTTTTTTGTTTAAAAACAGGATTACAAGAGCTCCTCTGGAGCCAGGCTGGGAGAGCTGGGGGTGCTCAGCTGGAGAGGAGAAGCTCCAGGGAGAGCTCAGAGCCCCCTCCAGGGCCTGCAGGGGCTCCAGGAGAGCTGGAGAGGGACAGGAGGAGAGGGAACGGCCTCAGGTTGGGCCAGGAGAGGCCTAAAATCAAAATCAGGGTGGATTTTAGGGAAAATTTCCTGATGGAAAGGACTGTAAGTCCCAGGCTGTTCAGGGCAGCGGTGGAATCACTGGAGGGGTTTCAAAGGTGGATGTGGCACGTGGGGACATGGCTTGGTGCTGAGTTTGGAAGTGCTGGGCTGGACTCCCCGGTCTTAGAGGATTTTTCTTAATGATTCCGTGATTTTGTGACCTCCAACCATGCAAGCTCAGCTTCAGCAAACATCACATCTCCCCCCTGGTAACTCTCCCCAGCTTCCCTGGGGGGCACCATCCCCTCTCAGCCCAACCACACAAGCACTGACGGCAGCAGCAGCCCCACCTGGTAATATTTAAAACAATTTTATTCATGAAAATATGCTGTACAATGCACTATACACAGTTCTTTACATTGCCACATACACAAACTCTAATAGCACAACCAAGAAAGTTACCATTGCCTACGATAGATGCTGTGAGAGATGACGCCTCCGACCCTCCCCCCCAGTCTGTACAGCTATAAATACGAGGGAAAGGACCCAAAACCGCCGGGGGAAGCAGCCCGGGGGGGCCCTCGGGTGTCCCCCACACCGGCTCCAGGCAGGGCAGGGCGGGAGCAGAGGCAGCTCCTGGTCCCAGAGGGAAGGGGGTGATGGAGAAGGGAGGATGAAGCTGAGTGTGGTGGGACATGAGGTGACCTTGCTGATTCCAGAGAGGGAACCTGGAGCCTCAGCCGGCGACACAAAGCCCTGGTGTCGCCCACAACCACAGTGGCAGTGGTGGCACAGCCCCAGGACCTGCCTGCCCCACACCCTCAGTCTGTCTGCACCTGACCACCGCAGCCCCACATGCCCAGGTCCTTTGGTCACCTGTCCCCACATGCCTGGGTCCTTTGGTCACCTGTCCCCATGTGCCCAGGTCCTTCGGTCACCTTGTCCCCATGGCCCTGGGTCCTTTGGTCACCTGTCCCTATGGCCCTGGGTCCTTTGGTCACCTGTTCCCATGGCCCTGGGTCCTTCGGTCACCTGTCCCCACGTGCCCGGGTCCTTTGGTCACCTGTCCCCGCAGCCCCCGGGGTGCCAGCGCTCGGGGGTGCCCGTGCCTGCCCCCGCCGCCCCTCGCCCCGCACGACCACTGAACACACGACGTTACCGACACGACTGCACCGCACACACGACAACCCCACGGTCACGAACCACACGACAGCTTGGCGAGGGGCCGTGCCCACGCAGGGGCAGGGGCGCGGGGGCGGCTGCGGGACGAGGGGACGTTTTCCTCCCGCCACGGTGATGGCCGGCCCGTGGCCGTGACACCGAAGGGGGCTCGGGGAGCTCCCTGCGTGGGAGAATCCCATCTCCAAATGCCTGCCCAGCATTGGTGTGCTGCTGGATCTGTGCCTGGAAAAGCCAGGACCCCTTCCCTTTCTCCCATTCCTGGGGGGCAGAGCCCCCCATCTCCTCCAGGGCAGCCAGAGCTGCCCTCCTGCCTCTGGGTCCCTCACACCCACGTGCTGAACTGGGGGGTCAGGGATAAAATAACCACTTGCAATCGGTTTCCAAGGATTTGAAAGATGCCTGAAACGAGAGGTGATGTATAAAAGGAATGCGGTAATGATCCTGACCAAAGAATAATCCTTTTTAAAAAAGCATTCAAGAAAGATTATATATAATAGAATATATTAAATTCTGTACATGATCAAATAATGTAAACATAATTAATTAACTCGTAAGAATGTCTTTAGAGACCGTGCCTGCCGTGTGCCCCGGGTGAAGGGGAGCGGTGGCACATGGGGCTCCTCTGTCACGCTCTGCCACAGCCGCGTGGGTCAGGACAGGAGCAGGAGGTGCCACCCGTGGGTCACCCTGCCCCTGGGGCTGGCTGGGACCCAGCAGCTGCTCCGTGGCAGAGGAGCTGGTGCTGGGGCAAGGAGGGAAGAGCTGGGCTGGGGAAATGTGCTGGTTCAGTGCACTGACCCTGCTGCAAGCCAGGGCCTGGGGGTCACAGAGAGCTGCCCAGGAGAAAGGATGGCGCAGCAGAGACCCCACGGGACACAGCAGCAGCTCCCACCACCTCCTGCCAGCCCCTCCATCATCTCCAGACCAGCTGCTCCTGCTGGTCACCAGCCTGAACCCCCCCAAAACCTTGCTGCTCCTGGCAGCTGTGTGGGATGGACATCCCTGGCCTGTTCCTGCCCCATGGGGCAGCGGGGTCAGTCTGGGGTCCTGACACACAGCAGGACCACATGGTCCCCATCCTCATGGAGCCCCAGCCCCTGGCAGGTGGGTGCACCCCTCTTGCTGACAGCTCCTGGATCGGCTCTCCTGGCACCCCTGGGGTGGGCAGTGAGACACTGGGACAGGCATGGTGGCACTGACCCCACAGGAGCCCCACAGCCCTGGCTGGGGACCCTGTGGCACCTCCCTGAGCAATGTGGGTCACCCGAGCTTGGAGCAGGATGGACCCCACGCTGCATCCAGAGGCCTGGCACCCACATCCCCCCCTCCCCACACACACACAGCCCCTCCTCGAGGATGACCCACATCACAGCCCCCCAGCTTTCACCCCACCATCCAAGATGAGCCACGTGATGGGGCACAGCCACCAGCACTGCCCGTGGCCTCTCTCTCTCCTCTCCCTAAGCTCGCCCCTTTCTTCCTTTCAACGCAAAAACTCAATGGCAAAAGAGTGCATGAAATCAAATAAATACGCCCCCCTCCCCGCCCCTGCGAGCTGCCCCTGAGCCTCCAGCTCAGGGGACCCTCACTCCCAGCAGGACCCCCCTGGAGCACGCCCAGCCTGCTCCGGGCAGGGGCTGCAGCCTTCCCTGGCACCCTCAGGCCCCGGGGGCTGCTGAGATGCTGCTCCCAGGGCTGCTGGCTGCTCACCATCACCACCCCCTTCTCGCTGCTGAGTAAGAAAAGCTGCCTGGAGCCACACGAGGACACCTGCAGTGGAGGTGGCCTGGGGGTGTGGGCTCAGCAGAGCTCCTGTCTCCACCAGGACTGAGGGGTCACGAGCCCCCCCTTGCCTTGGGGCAGGGTCCCCACTCCTGACACTTCTACCCAGAGGACTCAATCCCAAGGTGGCTCAGAGGAGAGTCCCCTCCCAGGGGGGATGCCCACGCGGGGAGGGTCCCACGCCACCAGCCGTCACCACTCTGTCACCCAGCCCAAGGGCAAATCAAACTGGCACCACTGCCATGGGGCACTGGGACCGTCTGGAAAGGCTTTCCCTGCCTGCTACCCCCCTGGATCTGCCTGGCTCCGGCTGCCTCTCCCACCCACCTGCCCTGTGTCCTCCAGAGGATGCTGGCAGGACCTGCAGACCGGGCACACGTGGGGCTGGGGGGGTCCTCCCCCGTCTCAATATTTGACCCTCCGGTTTGTGTTTCGTGTTCGACCTCAAGCTCAGACCGACGGCTCTCGCCCATCTTAACAAACAAAGGCAGAAGAGAAAGGAAAAAAAAAAGTTAGTCTCAATGTTCCCCTCGTGGCTTCCCGGTGGTGAGCCCGTGCCGGGGCAGGCGTCACCCGGGCACCCAGCTCTGGTTCGTGGGCTGCGGCCCCCCGGGCAGCGCGGGCACGTTCAGCCCGTTCTGCGGCGGGAGGGCCGAGTCGAAGTTGAAGTCCATCTCATCGCTGTCCATAAAGTCATTCAGGATGATGGACTCCACGTCGCACTCCAGGCTCCCGTTGAACATGTCCAGGTCCAGGTCTGCTGGGAACCTGTCTTGGCCCAACACGGGGGGGTGGACGGCCCCCGGGTAGGGGCCCTGCAGCGAATCCAGCAAGCTCATGTGTGCCCCTTGGTTATTAGCGTAGGAATGCAGGTGCCCGTGGTGCGGCACGGCCGTCATGCTGCACGAGTCACTGGGCAGGCTCATAAGGCTGACAGGATTGGCTAAGGCACTGGTGTTGACCGCAGGGTGGTGACCGGCT